TTTCAGGGCCCTATGCAGACAACACGATCCGAAGGGAAGTGAGGAATACATGAGGAAGGCATGCTAGGGGCTGGAAGGAAAACGGGGGGGCATGTCCATGGTGCGCTAGTGTTCAGGGGAGGTGTGGCCAAGGCGAACAGTCCAAGGGAGTCCGATGCAAATCCAAGAATGAAGCGAAAGTCCAAAGCCAGGTAATCCATCCTGACAGACACACAGAAGAATTAAAAACCGGAGGGAGCGGGATCCGGTGGAGTGTCGGGGGAATAAAGGGGGTAACAGGACCAGACGCTCCCTGATCCTGGACCCAGATGGTCTAGCCGCTCCTGGACTCACAGGTAGGCGGGCTTCCATATTCCAAAGCTGAGATAGGCAGGAACGTCTGGTTTATATAACACAGGGGGCTGGAATTGGAGACAGGTGCTGGAGATGAATGAAAACAAGGTAGGGCTGGAGCGTCCTTAAGGGGAGGGGTTTACGATCGTGACAGAGGTGAGGTCCAAAGTCGAAAAGGCAAAAGGGGAGTCCAGAGTCCAGAGTCCAGAGTCCAGAGTCCAGAGTCCAGAGTCCAGAGTCCAGAGTCCAGAGTCCAGAATATACAAGATACGGAAAAACGCCAGGTGGAGCTCTCAACGAGTAGACTCAATACCGAGCAGCAAGAAGCGGGTAAGGATGATATAAATAGTGCAGCATGCCACACGGTAGAGCATGTACAGGTGGGTTAACACGTGCAGCGGTGCTTGTTATGATTAATCCGCTGCTGGTGCTGATTAGCTCGCTTATGAGTTGATCTCCGCTGGCTGGCGGTCGTGACACATACTTGACTGCAAGGAATGCTGAGAGAGAATGGGAAGTTAGAGTACATTTTGAAAGGAATTAGTACCAGTAGGGCTGATCCTTTGCTTAGGTTAACTAGGTGACTGCCTAGGGCCCAGCAGCCACTGTGGGACTCTCTCAATGCGCCACACAGCATATTTTTTTAATCAGCACATTCAAATGTCAGCCAAAAATTCCCTCCAGTGGCCTTTTCTGTTGGTGCTGTGCTAATCTAGGCTGTTCAAGTGTGTGAGTTATAAATTTTAATATTATTAGTTGTGAATGGATGTGTAGTAGTTTATTTTCACTGTCAATGTAGTAAATGACTACAAACAATGAAACAGTACAAGTGACCTTTTCCTTGTTTTGCAAACTACTATATGTTGTAGTGGTTTAACATTAAATTCATGTAGTTGCAACTAGTAAACACACATCATCCTCCAAAAGGACAGATATATCGGGTGCTGAGAAAAGGAAGCACAGAAGCACAGAAAAGAAGAGCAGGATAAGGAATCTCAAAACAGAGGTACACCAAATCATATTATTGTAATAATGAATTTATATTTCACCTGGGTTTGAGTCTGTCAGATCCATGTAACGAGCAAACTGTAGACACACCACATTTTCAAGTTCAAGTTTATTGTCATTATACTCATATACAGGTATATGGTATAACGAAATGCTATTTAGCTAGCTCTCAGACAATACGTTGTACAAAAAAAACAACAATACAATTGTATAATAAAAGAAAGATAGAGACAACAGGCAATGTGCAAAAAACAACAGGCAATGTGCAAAACAACAAAAAGGTAACAGGTTATGTGCAAAAACAACATCAGATGTGCAAAAACATGCATCAACAGAATTAAATAAAAGGATAGAAATTATGGGGAGTGAGCTTTTTGACATGTAAGGTAGAGGTAGATTTCAATGTGTGAGTTTTTGGTAATAAAGAAAGAAGGCACTGTGAGGTTCATATCATAGGTGAGAGGTGAGGTGAGAGTGAGAGAGGCTGGGAGTTTAATAGTTTGATAGTGCGGGGGTTAAGACTGTCTCTGAGTCTGGTAGTCCGGGCCCGAATGCTCTGGCACCGTTTTCCAGATTGTAGAGGGTCATACAGTCTGTAGCTGGGATGTGTGGGGTCTTTGATGATGCTTAGAGTTTTCCTCAAGCACCGTCTGTCATAAATGTCCTGTATAGATGGGAGGGCAACCCCAGGGCTTTGCGGTCAGCAATACTGCAGTTGCCATCCCACACTGTGATGCAACCTGTCAGTGTGCTTTCTGTAGTGCATCTGTAAAAGTTAGTGAGGACCTCGGGACATATCTTAGCCTTCTTCAACTCTCTTAGGAAGTATAGGCACCGTTGCGCTTTCTTGATCAGACAGGTGGCGTTGAGAGACCATGTGAGGTCCTCGGTGATATGGACACCAAGGAATTTAAAGTTACTGACCCTTTCCACTTCAGTTCCATTGATATGGATAGGGGCATGACCGTTTTGCAGTTTCCTGAAATCGACGATCAGTTCCTTGGTTTTGCTGACGTTGAGGGTGAGGTTGTTGTCTTCACACCATGTTGTAAGGAGACTGACCTCCTCCCTATAGGCCCTCTCATCATTGTCTGTGATCAGACCTACAACTGTGGTGTCATCGGTGTCAACCGTTGTGTCATGGGGTTGGTGTTGTGTTTGGCTTTACAGTTGTGGGTGTACAGGGAGTAGAGTAATGGACTAAGCACACACCCCTGGGGGACCCCAGTTTTTCTAGCTAGGCACGACGACTACTTGAGGTGTTTTACTAAATATTAAAAGATTTGCATTTCATGTTATTACTTTCAATGTTTAAATATGTTATGTTTGTAAAATATGAGCTTCTTATTCTTATTTGTAAATTATTTATTATGTGTTATTCTAAGCTAATAAAAGTGTTCTTGTCATGTAATCCATTTAATTCTTCTAAATAGCAAAATAAGTTTTGGGGGAAGCTGATAAATAGTAGTGTATGTGCTAATTATGATCTGGAGGGGGCCCCTTTCCAAAATCTTGCGTAGGGACCCTAAAAAGCTAGGGCCAGCCCTGAGTACCATATTCAGAAAAGTCTTGAAACAGGTTGTATTGGCACTCAAAAGTAATGTTTTGAGTTTGTTATCAAAAGTAATGGTGAATGTAAACTACATCATCAGCTCTAGAGCTACTCATCCACTGTGTCTGGTTCTCTAACATCGAACAATTCTGCAAAGGCACCCCCAGTGCAGAATCACAATTATTGTGTGGCATGTGGATTTTACAGCACAACACAACAGGCTTCTCCCTGCCTGATAAGCTTCTGGTTAACATCCGCATTGTATCTCAGCCAGTGAATGCGACTGCATCTGTGCCCTAATGTTTTCAGTACAACTACAGTACTTGAAAAATGTTGCCAATATAATGATCTCAGCATGTTCCTCATAGTTCGAGACGTGTCAATTCAACATTTATTCCAAGGGGAAAAAAACATTGGCCTGTTTAGAAGCAGAGCAGAGTTATGCTATCCTAGCAGATGGTATTAATTAGAATTTAAGTAAAGTGCTGTGTATTATCATATAAAGATTAAACTTCGTAGCATCGGCAAAGATTCGCGCAGGTCGACATTATAGCATTGTGAAATATACCTGTAACATTGTTCATAAAACAAAACAAATAAATACGACTTGTTTGTAAATACCGTAATTCAAATAAATATACAAAAGACAACACACGTCACCGTTTGCTATTCCAAGAAACTATCCCTAAAACTACTGTCGATGTACTGTGCAAACTAAAACAGCACCTCGGCTTCGGGACAGTCCTGTTACAGCTGCTATTTGGGGACCTGGGTTTTCAGACGTGCCGCCGTTATTGTTCTTGACTGTTTTTGTTTCAGATTAAATGCATGAAAACAATTTTAGTGCTCAATACGTGGTTAGGAGATGTTCTGTTTCTTGTGCAGAAAATGTAAACGTGCAAACCTGCATGGCTTGCTCTTCCACGTTACCGTATTTGCTTGCTCTTCGGTACCCTGAATTAACATACTGTATCCTTTGTGAATGGACATGTACAGTAGCAGCTTATGTAAATGCATTAATTTCATTAGAACTAGTTCTTCCCTCAATGGACAGAAAAAACAAATTAAAAACAAAAATAATATTTCAATTTTCGGTTTTGAAAACTCACAAAGAACAGCTTACATCCTGAAGTTAGGTTTCCAAGTGTTAAAGTTCAAATTTAAATCTCTTAACATGTGCTATAAGAATTAAAACCTACTTTATTCACAGGCTCACGGGATTTACACATTGCTGTTCTGAATGATTAAATTTAAATTTAATGCAAAAACTTTAACCTTAGTTAAGAAACCATAAGCCAGCAATTTCTAGTCTAAAATTGAAAAAACACAAAACGTGTTGCGCCTTGTATAGAGATTTTATGTCTTCAACACGAGAGAGTTAAATTTAGGGGAGGTGTTTCCATACGTGGCAGCGAAGAAGTCGGTACGAATCAGAAACAGCACTGGGGAAGTCATATTGTGTAAGGTTTGTATGGCACTAAAGTCTTGTAAGCTGATTTACAGAGGAAGGGAAGGTAAGCTTAAAATTTTAACCTTATCTCCTCCGATATTCCCGCGAAGCATACTTGAAGATCGTATGCTTAATCAGTTTTACTACAGGCAAAACGCTTGCAAAAAGAGAATGCAAGCGGGTGGTTTTGCAACTTAGTTTGTTAGTTTTCAACATTTATTGCAATAATTTTGAGATATTTAATGTCTTCTCCAATTATTTGTAATGTCTCAGCGTTATAGTGAACTCGAACTGTTACATGAACATAAGGTTATGTTCATGTTGTACTGACGCAATATTATTCAGTTAGAACTTGGGAAAAGCCAGGAAAGCTGCTAAAAGACGCCTGTGAACGAACATGCGTTACTTTGGTAGGCTACACGAATAGTTGCAAGTTATAATGTCTGTCTTCAAAACTGAGCTTGTTTTGTTTCGAAACTAACATTAAAAAATGTTAGCTTCAATATATGAGGATCTCGCGAGCTCTGTTTCCCTATATTCAAATAGACTCCACTTTTTCTCTAGTCGGAATGTGTCCAGTCTGTGAACATAACAGTGCTGTATTTCTAGAACCATCCCGGCTGGCGTGGACATAGCTCAGACTGAAATCATGTAACACAGTGCGAATGTACAGTATGCATCCTGGATCCCCATCAGCTGGCGAGAATGATTCAGGTCTAAGGCATGTCTCCTTCCTTCTGTCGGGGGATTTCGTGCACAGCTGTTTTTATTATTGGTCAAGATGTTACAGAAGAAGACTGATTAGCACATGGAGGAGACAGAGAACTGTACACCGTCATTTTTGTACATAGTTTTTGTAGCTCTATCTTCAAGTGTTACAAAATAAGCATAATTACAATTTTCAAACATAAAATGAGAAATGCGCAGGTTCTTGCAGTGAATTAATATGTTGAAGCCAATGACTGATGAGCAAGGTGACAGCGTGTCACCAACGGCAACAGGATTTATCTGAACTACATTTACAGTGTATCTCAGCCTGGAGGTAGAAGCATATCTGAGTGAAACAAGCAACAGGTCCTGTTTTGTTTTACTATGGGCGTTTGAGCTGCAGGAATGTGAAAACTGCGAATTATTCATAAATTACGTTATATCTGGGAGTCGGGGGAGAACGGTGGAAGGGATTTCGCAGCTGTTCTTCACCGGACTTTTAATAACAGCTGCGTTGTGTTTTCTGTGACTGTGGTGGTGGGGATTACAGCGGTGTTCAACTTTTTTGGCAGAAGAAAGCCTTGTTTAGAAGCCCCTCTCGGTAAGAATGTCAAATTTAAAACATAAAATCAAACCGTGCATATAATTGAAGGAATCATTAATGCTATTACATGATACAATATCAGCAGAATTGCAGGTTAAAACGTTCATTAAGCATAGTTAGAGGATACCCTATATAACAGTAAATCAGACTTTATGCTTGGAGTGATATAATCCATTTGTTTCTAGAAATCCCCTGGACAGTCTCAGAGGCCCCTAGGGGTTCCCGGACGCTAATGGAGAATAGTGTGGTTCAGATTGCTCTTAGTCCTCAAAGAAAGTCACTGTGAGATTGCCGAGTGCATATCGGAAGCCAGCATCCAATGAAATGCAAGGGTGGAGTGTTTAGAACTTTGTGCAGAAACGTGTGATCGCATAAGTAAATGGGGGAAGACGAAAATACATAATCTATAAGTCCGGTCTACACTTGAATTACTGTCATTTTACATGCTGTGTGTTTTCGTCACCATACACAAGGCAACATGTGAATATATAATTCGAGGGAACCTTCCAATAGCTTGGGATTCAGTGCTCAGTGGTGAATAATGAGTTGTACTGAATTTGCAGTACATCAAAATTGTTTTACGCCTTAAAAAAAAGGACGGAAAAAGTATTAAAAGTATTGTATTTAAAGAGCAATTAAGTCAGTCTGCTGATTGCACAGATGTAACTTGTTTTATATTGTCAGTGATCCGTGAGGACGAGCACTTTATTTTTATTTCTGAACACATTGTTTCTGTGTACCATTGACACAACAAAGGTTTAGAGGTTAAACGCCATCAGATTTGTTTCAAGATAGTTACATACTGTATGAAAACATCTGCACGGCTTTTAGTTTGTGTATGTATTTATAGGATAACGGTTCGAAGTCCAGAATATTCGAGAAGGAAAAGTAATAATAAAAAACTTTATTTTATTTAGCGCCTTTAAAGGTGACTTCTCAAAGCCCTTTACAGGATGACAATAACAATAAATAAGAAGACTACAACAATAAATAAGAAGATTTCACAAGATAGGACACAATTATAATTACAGCAATACAACAAAAACAATAGCGGAGACCGTGGAAGGTGGTATTAAGAAGAACAGAGGGGTGAAGAATGGAACCAGTTAAGTAAAGGCTTTTCTGAAGAAGAAGGTTTTGAGTCTGGATTTGAAGGAGTTTAGAGAAGGTGACTCTCTGATATCCTTGGGCAAAGAGTTCCAGACCTTGGGGGCATAGCAGGAGAAGGCCCTGTCGCCCATACAATGTAGACGGGCATTGGGGACAGTAAGGAGGGCAGAATTTGAAGAGCGGAGGTTGCAAGGTGGGGAGTAGGGCAATAAAAGTTCAGACAGGTATTGAGGTGCCAAGCCATGTAAAGCCTTATAGGTGAGCATGAGGATTTTAAAGTCTACGCGGAATTTGACCAGAAGCCAGTGCAAGGACTCCAGGATAGGAGTAATGTGAACACTTGAACTAGACCTGGTCAGGATTCTGGCTGCTGAATTTTGGACATACTGCAGCTTGTTCAGAGTAGATTTAGATACCCCAGGGAGTAGAGCATTGCAGTAGTCAATTCGAGAGAATACAAATATGTTGATCAGCTTTTCAGCCACAGTTAATGATAGCATAGGGCGTAGTCTTTCTATTATTTCTAAGGTGAAAAAAAGATGTTTTGACCGTACGCTGTACATGTAGGTCGAATGTTAAGCCAGAATCTAATATAACCCTAAGGTTTTTCAATTTTGATTGAAGCTCAAGTACAGAGCCATCTACAGACAGGGTTACAGGACTGGCTTTACGAAGTTGATGGGGGTTACCAATAAGCATGACTTCAGTCTTGTCACAATTAAGATGAAGGAAGTTTTGAGTCATCCAATTTTTTATGTCAGAGATGCAATTAGATAGAATAGAGACAGCCACATCAGTGTCGAGTTTGGTATGGATGTGTATTTGAGTAACGTCAGCGTAAAAAAGAAAGCTGAGGCCATGTGATCTTAAAAGCTGACCAAGTGGGAACATGTAAATGCTGAAGAGCAAGGGGCCCAGTATTGAGCCCTGGGGGGCACCAGACTTGACAAGACCAATTTCAGACCTGTACCCATTAAGAGAGACAAAGTGACTGCGATCAGTGAGGTAAGACTTAAACCATTTGAGGGCAGAGTCAGAGACTCCAAACACAGTCTTGAGACAAGAAAGTAAGATGTTATGGTCAACAGTGTCAAGGGCAGCACTGAGATCAAGAAGGATGAGTATGGAAAGAGAACCAGAATCAGAAGCTATTAGGAGATCGTTGGTGACTTTGACTAGGGTGGTTTCTGTGCTGTGAACTTGGCGGAAGCCAGATTAGAGGTGTTCGAAAAGGTTGTTTGTCATGAGGTCGTTATGTAACTGAAGTGTGACAGCATGTTCTAGAATTTTAGAGAGAAAGGGTAAGTTGGAGATGGGGCGAAAGTTGTTAAGATTGTCGAGAGCCATGTTAGGCTTCTTTGGCACGGGGGTAATAGCAGTAGTTTTGAGGACCGTTGGTACAATGCCGGTGCTCAACGATTCATGTATTATTTTGAGGACAATGGGACAGAGAGAAGAGAAACAGGACTGGAATAAAGTGGTGGGAATGGGATCTAAAATAGATGTGGTGGTAAAAGTACATTCTTCTGATTCATTGTAAAGAGTTACATTGAATTTACATAGGATTTTTTAAAATGAAATTTTAACTTTATCACTGTAATATTTTAATACAGAGTGTGGCATGATGCGTGTCTGATCATTAAAGATTGGCGTTTAAATTGAGTGAGTGCGTTAACTGCATTTTTGGTAGACAGTTTAATTATATTTTAAATAGGACGTAAATCCCTGCGATTTTATTTGCATCCTCTAGAAAATAAAACAAACTGTCTAGTTGTGTGGAGAGTGATAACAGCAATTTCATGTTTTTTACATGATTTCCATGGCATATTTTCTGGCTGTTTAATTTATCCGACATTTTGTTTGCACTGGTTAGGAAATAAAAAATAATAAGTAAACTGAGAGTAGGACCAGTGGTCATTGAAGGCAAAGCAGCAAATATAAGATGTACGCCTTGTTTTTATAAAATCAAATCTGTTTTACTGTTTAAAATGTATTTTTCCCCCCAAATATTTGAAATTATGAAGGGAAATCTGAATGACTGGATACAATATTAAATTTAATCTTAAAATACATCTTTCAATTTCACAACACTCACTTATAATTACTACTTATAAGTATAAAAGTATTAAGCATATTTCTTGTACACTGGTGAATTGGGTATGGCACTGCAGCTCAGAAAGTTGTTGCTGAAAAATCCATCAGTTTTGTTTCTCTGTTTTGCATTGGTTATCTACACGAAATATAAGAAATTTACATTGGAAATGCCTTTACATTCCTGGACTAAAGAAGTTTGCTAGAAGCCATTCTTATCTAAGATATTTAGTTGGATGCCTGTTACCATTTTGTAACCTGGTCTTGTTAGTTTCCTGAAGTTAAGCAAGGCTGGGAGTGGTTAGTCTAAAGAAAAAACAGCTTGCTGTTCTTACTGTTGCTGGTGGACCAGTAGGTGACACTGTTCTCTCTTGATTGGAATCTTTGAACTTATTACCCATTAATGTTGACTGGAGACTCTGTACTCTAGAGATACTGATTTTGTGATGACACTGTAGTGGCCATGGTCTTCACTACATGGCCATTAAAGATACTTTGGTTCAACCATATGGGCAAACAACTGTTATCCTTATCTGCAGGGCATATGTTCCTGAAATTTCTGCAGATAAACAAAAATGCCTATACAAGGAAAAGCTCTCTGTCCTATAACATGTACTTTATATACTGTGGGTCTAACTAATACATTGTGGCCATCTAAATTAAAGTTGCCAAATACAAAAAGATTATGACAGAAAATAAATACAATACTGCAAAGTTTTCTTTTTTAAAAAATGGCACTATAAAAAAAAACAAAACACAAACCTTGATTTTGTCATTGATATTGAGTGTAGCAGTCTTCAAGAAAATGTGAGGAAGTAGGAGAGATAGGATACGTGGGAGGGTAATGTGGAGGAAAATGATTGTGTTAAGATTGTTTTGAACCACAATGCAGTCTGAGAGGCATCAAGTCCCTGAGAAGATTTGAGATGTTTTTAGAATGCATCTCAAGCTACACAATGGATGGAGAGACCATAGATAACCATGGGGAGCAAGGCAATTGTACTTTTTAACAGATCAGGATGTTAACCTCAATATGGTAATTTAATTCCACTTCAGGCTTATACAATGTTGCTGAGTATTCTTCCTTAATTCAGCTGGTGAAACTAATTTTCACATCGCCACACGAATGCACTGTTGTGTAGTGGCATAGCTGGAGAATTATTGTTACTGTGCATTACACGGTTTGACACTGCACATGGTGGATGAAGTCAGTCCCTTCCTATATCGTAAAGCACTCTGGCATCCTTTAAGATGAAAAATGCAAGGAATTGTCTGTATACACACTGCTTCTTTCAAAGCCAATTTTTGCCTTTTAATCTGGTGACGCAAAAATAAACCTGTGGTTGTGGAATGATTGTGCAGAGCTCAGGAAATCATACCTTCATTTGTGAATGGGTTGTTCATTATTCAGTCCCACTCTGAGCAGGAAGAATTTACACATTCCTTAGTAGTGGTGGTTGCTGCCAACGAGAGCATAATAATATCTTTGTTTAAGACCAGAGTTCCACCTTTATTGATGTTTGTTTCTGCCTTTTAATTTTTAAAAAATTTATTTCCCTTTGGAATTATCTTTTTTTCAGCCAGTTCTTTTTATTTCTATTAGCAAACACAGAGAACGCTTTCTCTCTGGCATGTTTTGTCTTGCTGGAATCCACGTCATGTTTCTTAGCCAACGTACGAACAAGCCAGGGACCTAGGGGTTTGAATGATATTTATGAGCAGTTTGGAGGCCAAACATTTACCTTCTTAAATTATTTCTGTTTATTGCCCACACCCTCAACAAATAACAAAATGAAGTAAGTGTAATCATAGCAGGATAGTGTAGCTCCTAGTATAGAAGTAGTATGTAGCTCCTATTCTATTTATTGTTTCTCAGCTGTTGATTCAAAATCACAAAATGTCCCAGCTGAATCAATAATGTTTTGCTGGGATCAAATTAAATCAAACTGTAATGTGAACTAAAGAGCTATTTAAATAATTGAGATAATTCATGATGTTTATGTTTTACCTTTCTCAGTACAAAAAAAACTGAGATTTTAATCAGGTCTTTTCATAATTGGATTTGTCTGTTATGTTTTTGTGTTATTGAATGTACAGTGTGTGTATAAGCTTGTTTGAAGTAGTTTGGTGCTGTTCTTTTTTTCCCAGTCCTAAAAAATAAAACACAATGATAACTGCTACTTTTTGAGTGCTATTAATGTTGATGTCATTGAGGTGAAGCCTTCCTTCTCTATTTAAGGAGATTTTTTTTTCATTTGCAGCTTTCACATAAACCACTGTCTTGAATTCCTTTGATTATTATTTAGAAACAAGTGGTTAGAGGAAGTCCATACCTACTATGTATGCACTGTAATATTGTTACTGTTGTGTTAGTAAGAGAAAAAAATGCTAATTTAGCTTGTGTTCGGTAATTATGAGCTGAACTATCTTTTAATTTAATGCAAGGAAAACATTCCTTTTTAAAAATGGAGGGGAGGTTGGCTTAATCTTCCCCAGAGTTACATATAATTAGAACTTTACTGTACACATTATTTGTTCCAACAGGAAATTCTGTTAGTAAAGAATTCAAATAAACTGTAGATTATGAATCTCAAGTAGATCCATATGGTGTATCTCTCCTATCTGATCCTCTGATTAAGCATTTTTGGTTGATGCCATTTCATCCATAATAGACTATAGGATAAGCATATCATTTGCCAGCAACAATATCGCCCTCCAGCTGACAACTCACAATCCACTGAAGTAAGCAGGTGTGAACCTGGTCAGTACCTGGATGGGAAACCTCCTGGGAAAAACTAAGGTTTCTACTAAAACCACTGCTAGTAGGGACAGTAGGGAGCGCTCACCCTGTGGTCTGTGTGGGTCCTACAGTAATGCCCCAGTAGACTGACAGAGACACTATTCTGTAAAAAGGTGCTGTCCTTAGGATGACATGTAAAACCGAGGTCCTGACTCTCTGTGGTCATTAAAAATCCCAGGATGTTTCTCTGAAAACAGTAGGGATGTTACCCTGGCATCCTGGCCAAATTGCCCATTGACCTTTACCAATCATGGCCTCCTAATAATCCCTATTTATGAACTGACATCATCTGTGCTCTTCTCCCCCACTGATAACTGATGTGTGTACACTATGGCTGCCGTCACACCATCCAGGTGGGCCTGCACATTGGTGGTGGTGGAGGGGAGTCCCCATTACCTGTAAAGTGCTTTGAGTGGAATCTAGAAAAGCGCTATATAAGTGTAAGGAATTATTATTATTATTGAGTTGCTGTTCACAGCTTTCCGTGTTACATTTAATCAAACAATCTGGGAGCAGCTTTCTAGATTTCATCCATTAATGCCAACATTTTTTTTCTAATTTAATATTTTGCCATCTTTTGTAGTCTTTATACCTGCTATTGTAGCTCCTGATCTGTGGCTTATGTTTTCCAGAAAGGAAAGCTGATTTGATTTCTGCTGCAGTTCTTTTCTTTCGGGTTTAACCTAGAACAACCAACTCTGAAGCTGGTTTGGCAGAATATGGCTGATGACATCGGCAACAGTGTTTTTTCATTAGGTATCCAACACGAATTTCCATGGAGACAGAGGTTATAGAGCCAAAACCTAGATGTAGTTCATATGGCAGGCAGATCATGACTTTCCAGGCTGCCATATACTTGAATAGCAGGAAATTATGAGCAGGCAGCAGTTGTTTAAAGGCCAGCTCTTTGAGGAGTTCAGATCTAAGCCATGAAAAATCAGTTTATGATTCACTGTGGCAGATGCTAACTTAAGCAAATCCAGAATATTCACATATATTTACTCTGGGGGAAACGAGCCTTTACTATTCATGCATAAAACCTCCATAATGAGATTTTGGGTATTTGGCATCTGGATTTTGGAAGCCTTTTTTTCCCCTATCCTAGGACCTGTTCACATAGAAGGTCAAGGTAAAAAAAGGTATTTCAAAATGAAAGAGACTATCAGAAAAATGTAATTATGCATTGAATCTAGCTAGCAAAATAAATATTGGGTTGAAGAAAGGAACTGAGTTTATTTGATTATTGCAGTATGAACACAAGAGTATAAACAGTTTGCACATTGAGGAAAAAAAAACAACTTAAAATTTCACTTGAATACTGTATGATTTTTTTCCTCCTGTTAAGGTATGGTGTATACAAAGCAATGATATGTGATTCCAAGATGCAGTACCCAAAAGAATTTAACTTGAAAATAAGAGGAAATTTATTTTGGGAGGAGCTGAGTGCACGTCATGATTTTCCTGCTCCTAACTTTGATACTAGGCAAGAAAAAAGAAATAGTTTTTAAGCCTGTTTATACTTTCCCTCCTTTTGTACCTTATTTATTTAAGCAGAGACCTATGAAAACCATCAATGGAAACCAATTTTCCTTAAATTAAAATACTATTACTTGACTATTGTTTGCAATGGTCTTCATAAATACAATCGATGTATACCACTTATTCATGCAAATGCTCTGATATAATTTTTGCTTGTACGGGGCTTACTTTTTCACACAAGACTCATTGTGGCAAAGTAAAATTTGTTTGTCACGTTACGTTAGATTTATTTACTGTTAGCACTTGGTGAGGACAAGGTGAAGTCCAGATATATCTTAATATGTAAAACCATAGAATCTTAAGACTGTACTTTCTTTTTCACATCACTATTAAGATTAACATTAAGAGTAATTTGAGTTTATTCAAATTCAGCGTTTTTTTCCCCCCATTTTTTTTCTTGATACGTTATGTATAGAGCACTCTTAAGTGCTCTGCATTTCAGAATGTAAAATAATGTAATTAATGGAGTATTTGGGCTTTCCTTAGGTTCTGCTACCAGAGAGAAAATGAAGCGCTGGATGTTGTGTCTCACTGTATTTTGCTGCTACAGCTGGTGGGCTGAGGCCGAGATATTCACTTCAATTGGTAAGTGTTCACTTTATCACAATTTCTATAAAATGTTACAGGGAGCTAAACATCATATTTAAGAAAATGGGTTCTCCTCTTTCATGTACAATTTCAAATATAAGACAATGAGTTGTTTTTTGGAAGAATGTGTGCTCTAAATATCAATTAATTAAGAATTTATGCTTCTGTAAGCATTTAGACAGTATGTTAAGCAGGCCACTCTGTTTTAATAACTATTTTACTGAAAATGTTTTTGGCATAAAATAGGATTTCTGATTCAACTTCAGTTCAAACAAAAACACTTTTTTTCTTTAAAATGTCAGAGGTGAGTAGTACTCTATAAAAAGAAAAGAGACTGGAAAAATTATTTACTGAGAGTCTGGGAATGCTAAGCACTCTGAAATTTTACCATACAACAGATAATATTTATACGTCGGTAAGAAACTTACAAAATGCACACCAATGAAAGATCATTTTGCTCTAAAATAGCATTTGGCCAAGCTGTCACCTTCATTCCTTTATTTCAGTCCTATAACTTTTGTGATGTTGAGGACAAGTAAGCACAAAACAGTCAACCATAATTGCAAGGTTCTCAAATAAAAAACAAATAAAATGCTAAAATTAAGAGGTAGCACCAGCCCTAAAATTCAAAGGAGACATCTTATTTTTACTCTGGTTTCCATTTTGTTTTCCATCTCTATAATTTATTAGTTGAAGGCTGACGTGAAAGCAGATGTTCCTTTTTTTTTTCTAAACTTTTTTTTCTAAAGTTTTCTAAACTTTGGAGGATAAAGCATTGGAACGGTATAGTCATTCTACAAGTTGTTCTTTTTTTTTCCTCATATTCATGTTCACAGATGTCATATATTGTCTGAACAAGCTGAATTCTGGCTCCTATCATTTGTTTTCCTTGGATTCGTGCAGAGCTGGATTAAAAGTGAACAAAACAGTTTGGTGAGATTAGCATAACATTAAATAGAAGTACCAGTTGGGAGAGATTTCTTAGTTAAAATCTTTTGCCAAATGCACTCATGTTTTGTTAGATGGAGATGATACACAGCCCTTTTATCACCAAGCCTCATAACTTTTTGTAAAAATAATCAAAGCTCATCTGTCCATAATGTTCGTACTTTTAAAAATCACTGAAGAACTCACAGGCCCTAGGTGTGGTATTAAAAATCCTACATCAAAATGCAGGATGTTTCAATGTTTCAGAGATTTACTTTTGCTGTTGCTCTGAAAGATGCTGAATTTTCCTTTGTGGTTAATTTCAAGGATACCGCATGCTTATGAGCAATAATGTTTTATGTTTTTTTATCTTACTTTTAGGTCAAATGACAGACTTGATTTTCACAGAACAGCAACTTGTCCAGTCTCTCAAAGAGTATATTCAAGCAGAGGAGTCCAAGTTAGCTGCAATAAAAAGGTATTGTCAGTAATTTGCAGAAACGCCAAGTGTATCAAGATTTTGGGAACGTGATTTGAGTTCCATCTCAACCTTCTTAAATATAGTCCACTGTCTTTCTCAGAAATCTTAGCATTTTCTTAAAACTCTAATGCTTTCTTTCATTACTCTGTCACCAACAACACATTTTCAGTGTTGTTTATTTTAACAGAGTAGGAGTGACCAAGCAATTTTTCATGGAAGAATAAAGACTGAAGGAACTGAGCTTTTTAATCAAACTTTTAAATGAAGAAGGCTGCACGGGGGCCTTATATAAGTATTCAAAATCCTCAAATGTACTGGCAAATCCAACCCAGCTGATTTCTTCAGAATGGATAGTGAAACAACTATATGGAAGGAATGAGGCACTGCTTTACCCAAAGGGTTGTGGGAGTGTGGTGCAAGTAATTTTGATGAAGGTGATAGCCTGCCTTCTTTCAGGAAACAGCTGGATGAGACTCTTGGATCAATTAACGGCTGTGAAAGGGCTAGGTTATCCAAATGGCCTCCTCATTTGTACATATTTTGTTATAAACTTTTTAGAATTTTATTTTTTGCTAGTGCTAAACTAAAACCCTTCGGGGTATTGTGTGAGTGATTAAGGGTGGCGTGATTTGTAAGTGTGAAGCTGGTTGGTGAATACTGTCAAATGGAAGGAAGGTGCTGATTACCAAAAAGCTCTTTGGCATCACAGTTTTCTTTTTTTGTTGTAGCTGGGCCAACAGATTAGACGCACTGACCCGTACCTCCACTGCAGACCCAGAGGGGTACCTGGCCCACCCAGTCAATGCTTACAAGTTAATGAAGAGGCTGAACACTGAGTGGTCAGAACTGGAGAACATGGTGTTACAGGATCCAGCCGATGGTAGGGGGAGGAAAATGCAGGCTCAGCTGCAGTGGTCAAGAAGTTTGTTTGGATGTGTTTGAGATTGCTAGCACTGTTGTCATAAGATCACAGAAGGATTTGGTGGTCATAGCCCAGGCCGACATCTTTGACTAAAACCAAAGATATTTCATTGGTGCCCGGAGCTTTGTATGCAATCCGCCTGACCTGAATTTGCTGATTTGCTGTGGGAACTTAAGGATTTCCTTTGCTCTCCCCTCTGGCCCTCAAAATGTCTGGTAGTCTGTGCCCTGAAGAGTTTTCATATGCTGCACCCTTGGGGTAACCTGGGGTATACTCACAAATTAATTCAATTAATTTCTCTTTCATACCTGTACATGGCTATGTGTTCGATGCGTGTCCTGGCAAGCAAATCTCTAAAAAAATTAAAATTCCTCAGCAAATGCATGGAGGGAGATGTCCTCTTGCTGAAAGAATAATAGTAGTCATAATAATTCCTTACATTTATATAGTGTAATAAGAAGATCTAGAATTTAATGTTTCTTGGCAAAGAAAATGTTATTTTTCTCTCCTCACGTACCCAGCTTATCGTGATTGGGTTTAAAAAAATCAAAATTCAGCTTTAATTTGATGTATGTTTAACCTCAGTTCTCGCGTTATGACGTGGAAGCAAGCTGTGAATTTGTGGTATTGCTGAGAATGGGAGTTGAAAGGCACCCCATCTGGTTGTGGGCTGTTTTCTAGGGCCAGTTGCCTAAATCCAATCCAAAGTCTTTTCATCTGCCACAGCTGTTCTCCTCACACTGCAAATGTCGCACTTCTCTTGGTCTATTGTGTAGCACAGCCTCTTGGCTGTGAGGTGTTACAAACCTCACTTTCATCCTCATCGGGGAGAAATGTCTGAATGCCGCCCATCTAATAAGACAGTTTCATTTGTCATTAAGAGCCAAACTGGATAGCTAGAGCGAAAAATATTATTTTTGGATGCAAAAAGCTTTTGCCAGTTTGCCCTTAAAGCGAATCTGTGTTCGTTTTTTGTTTTTCATAAAAATGATGTACAGCTGATTAGAAGAAATAAATAAGTGTGTGTTCAGGAAAGAAGGATGTACAAGTATAAACGTGTGCCTGAATTAAAGGCGAGGCTTAAAGCATGCTGATCAGCTTTTCTCTTTTAGTTTTACTTCAGGAAAGGAACATAGCTGGCAGGTGAAGTCATGTGGCATGCTGGGTCATATGGATATTTTGTTAGGGCAGGTTTCATTTTTTTTAATCTAACTTCATTTGAGAGCTAATGTGTTTAAAAAGTATGTCAATGTGATTTAGCAAGTGAGTAGTTTATCAAAGAAATCATGTTGTAAAGATTAAAGGAAGTATTAAGGCAGAAGGGGCTGGAAAATTTAAACCTGATTATATACATACATGAGTAACTTATTTTTTTTTACATTTTTTTTGCTTCTGAGCTTATTTTCTTGTATTTCCTGATTTGTGAAGGTTTCATATCCAATATCTCGGTTCATCGGCAGTACTTCCCAGATGAGGAGGATGAGAAAGGAGCAGCCAAAGCACTGATGCGGCTGCAGGACACTTATAAACTGGACCCGGAGAGTATCTCCAAAGGAAGACTTCCAGGTACCCAGCAGGGAATGCTGCGAGCTGAACCAGCCCACTTTGATCATGTGACTGTGAAGTAGGAGAGACTCAGGGGTTTCTTGGACATTTAGGATTTAAGCAAGTTTGAGGTTAATAATAATAATTACTTACATTTATATAGCACTTTTCTGGACACTCAACTCAAAGCACTTTACAGGTAATGGGGACTCCCCTCCACCACCACCAATGTGCAGCATCCACCTGAATGATGCGACGGCAGCCATAGTGCGCCAGAACACTCACCACACACCAGCTATCAGTGGGGAGGAGAGCAGAGTAATGAAGCCAATTCATAGATGGGGATTATTAGGAGGCCATGATTGGTAAGGGCCAATGGGAAATTTGGCCAGGATGCCGGGGTTAAACCCCTACTCTTTAGGAGAAATGCCCTGGGATTTTTAATGACCACAGAGAGTCAGGACCTCGGTTTTACGTCTCATCCGAAGGACGGCTTGTTTACAGTATAGTGTCCCCGTCAGTATACTGGGGCATTAGGACCCACATGGACCGCAGGGTGAGCGCCCCCTGCTGGTCCCACTAACACCTCTTCCAGCAGCAACCTTAGATTTTCCCAGGAGGTCTCCCATCCAGGTACTGACCAGGCTCACACCTGCTTATCTTCAGTGGGTTGCCAGTTGTGAGTTGCAGGGTGATATGGCTGCTAAGGTTAAGGATTAAGATCATCTTTTGTCCATCAACTAAGTTTTTGCCATACGCTTCAATTTTAATCTTGTAAACCTTGTAATCTGTGTTAAAGGAAAGTGGTTCATATGCTGGAAAATAACACGTCTGTCTCATTTATTTCCAGTCACTTTGTTTTGCAACCATGGTGATGCAGCGAACAAGTCCAAACAAATTAGTGAATTGGCAAATGCATAGCTTTCTTAGTATAGCTGGGTTTTATCTTCTGAACTGGTCTTATTTATAAAGTGTTGATCCACTGCAGTCTTCCCGACAGGTTATTTATGTGCCCCCTTCTTAAACTGGGTTGATGTGCCTTCAGCGTTTCTGTTTCTGAGAGATTTGTCTCTCAAGCTGCCAAGTTGTCTCTCTAAGAAGAAGCTGAATTAGAATTATCATACTGTATTTGGTTAGGTGAAATCTGAAAGCCTATGACTTAACAAACAAAATATGTTTGGACACAGTTGATAACTTTGTGCGACTTTTTGCTAAAATAATTATGGTTACTATTCTGCAAGCCATAGATATTCAGAAAGTCAGATGTAGAAAGGAAACGGAAATACACAAACCTATTTAGTAGAAGCTTTGTGTTTTGTATTTGAAGAAAAAAAACTATAAGTGTTGGTATGACCCTTAGAAAAGACATGCATGAAGCTAATGAGTGTGTGCATCGCTAGGTGTGAAGTTCAATGCAGTCCTGACTGTGGATGACTGTTACGACATGGGGAAGACAGCCTACAATGAAGGAGATTACTACCACACAGTGCTGTGGATGCAGCAGGCTCTTAAGCAGCTGGACGAGGGGGAAGAGGCTGTCGTTACAAAGTCGGATGTTCTTGACTACCTCAGCTATTCCGTGTATCAGATGGGAGACATTCCTCGGGCCATAGAGCTGACCAGACGTCTGGTTGTTGCAGGTGAGTTGCTGTCCACTGTCATTCTCCCAGCTCACTCTGTGTCTGGACTGATGTCTTTCAGCGTTCTTAAGTGGTAAACTGAATTTGAATGCTGGTCTCCAATTCATAAATCATAAGTTCAGAATTTCCCACCTGCAATAAAATCAGCTGTACAAAGAATCATTTCTCTAAAGATTAAATAGTTGGCATCCTCTTTAATAGTTACGTATGATATGGCGTATAAAGACCTTATCAGAACTAATAATTTTAAAAATAACTCCACTTAGTATCGCCCAAAATAATAAAAACAGATAAAGATGCACCAAAACAAAATTTATTATTTCATTATATTGTATTTATTAGTATTTTAGTAGTAATGCCTTTGTAATAATGTCTTATTTTAGTTATAATTTCTAAATTCAGGACAAGGTGAGATTTTCTTTGCTGACAATATACATTTTACAGTGACACAGTTAATTTTCACATCATGTGATGTTATATCTTCTTTGTATTCATCCTATTGATTATCTGCTGCCCCACCCATCCCTGAAATATTGAAATCCTGAAATATTGTCTACAGAGCATTAACACTTAACATGTTACCTAATGCAGATGTAATGAACTTACTTATTTTAGCATTGAAATAATCCTACCCAAATATAAATATTATATGGTCGGCTGAATACAAAAAAGCTTTTTGGATAACGGCAAGAAGACATTTCCAGTCTAGTTATTAAATGTTTTTTTAAGGTTCAAGGCACAAGGCTGTAAAATACTGCACAACAAAGACATGTAGTAAACACAAGAGGGCAGTATAGCATAAAACAAACAATTCTCTGCTGTGCACAGTGGAGATTCTTGAAAGCTTCTCAGCTATATGATAGAGCCTGTTCTTTTTCTAAATTAGTCTGTTTTGATATGCCACAGTTCTTAAGTATAAACATTTAAAAACAGATTTTTTGAAGTGGTATTTAGCTTATTTTGTGATTAGGTCCATGCCAAAATATTAAGAATATGTCGGCTCGTAAAGCTCTTTTGGAAAGCCAACGAAGCTTTTGTTTTCTGGAATTAGCAGGGTTTTCATTTTGAGTAATTTCAAGAAATTCTGCTTGCTCCGTGTGTCATGGCAACAGATCCAAACCATCAGCGAGCGGGAGGGAATCTGCGGTACTTTGAGAAGCTGTATGCCAAAGAAATGCGAGAGCGCGAGAAGACCGAGCAGCCTCCGGCCACAGAAACACCCATTGAACTGGGGACCTATGACAGGCCCCCCGACTACCTGCCGGAGAGAGAAACATATGAGGCCTTGTGCCGAGGAGAGGGAGTGAAAATGGTAAGAGCTAAGGAGATTTCGTTTCGAGGGCCACTCCTGGAAATGACCGTAGTTACCATATTTATAAATCAATTAACAACAAGGGGATTTGTTCTCAAAGCTCTCTGTTTTACAAAGTAAAAGTGTGATTCATTCAGGCAACAAACAGTCCAAAGACAATAGTCTACAGATACAGGTAGCATTCTGGATCCATTAGGATCAAGATAAAAAAGTTTTTTTTTTTTCAATTGGGAAATAGATTTCCAACTTTCTTTCTGGGCTTCTTTTATCAATGTTTTTAGTGGTTCTTTTGCTCTGTGTTGTTCTGAGCAGAACCTATCCAAAGCATTTTGCAAAATACCTAAGCAGCTGATGAGATTATCAAATACAATACAATGAAAACATTGCTGACATACTCTAATTCTGTTGAAAATATTAGTGCTTGGGGCTACATGACCTTTTGTTTTTAAGATATTTTTCATATCTCCATCTAAATGCTTAATTGGAAATTTTTTGCATTTTGGTTTTAAAAAGATAGTTTATAAAATACATTAGATTCCAGGAAGACTCTGGAACTTGATAATAATATACTATATTTGGTTAGACTACGTTCAGCTATGGTAGGGGGACTAAAGAAACTGGCAGGCAGAAACACCTCACTCCTCCTAGGATTTGATTTCATGAGTGATTGTAGATGATTTTGAAGTGGTGGTACAGGTCAGTGGAAGTATGTACTAGCCAGTGCGACCCCATGGAAGCATGGGGTGTCTTAACCCTGCTTACAATGTAATTGAGCTTTTGTCAGACCAAT